ACTTTTCTGTTGTCAAATTTCCCTATGTACTTCTATGGATTTTCTCATGTAGATTAACGACGTTTTTTTATTTTGTTCCTGTTTTATTTTGTGGATGCCAAAAATCTCGCTGCGGTGAGCTTCAAAAAAACGACCAAAGAGACATCGTACGATGTCTTTATTATAGTCAACAAAATTAACTGAAATATATATTTTTCATCAGCGTGAGGTTCAAACTGATAAGTGTTTCATTAGTTTTGCGAATAAATGATTATATATCACAAAGAAAAAATTATTGAATCTGCACATGATTTTATACCCGCCACAGTGGGCATACCCCTTAAATGAATTCATTCAAAAACTATATTTTCTCTACATTAAAAAAACCTTTCACGTCAGTTATAAGAATTAGAATATTTAATTTTGTTCAAACTGCATTGGACATTAAAATAAGGTCAAGGCCACAACCGGTACTTTAACTAAAAAATTATGTTTAAAACATGTTTTAAAATTAATATTCGGCATAGATTCTGTTAAATCTTGGCTTGGCTGTTAGGTTAGATTATATCTTAATTATCTTAAAAACCCAAACAATTCATAAATAAAGAAATGCAAAAGTAAAATGTCCAAAGGGAAATTTATTATTATTACCATTGAGAAATATTTGTATCAATCAAGTACAATCCCTTCTTTGGAATCGGTCGGCCTCTACCTGTGCGTAAAACCTACACACCAACTGTTAGGAAGTATAATAACGGAAAGTTTTCGCGACAATTACCTGAACAATACTTCAACATTACACTTTTGTGCAACTTGCTATAGATTTATAGTTTTAGAAAGTTATGTACTTGTAGTAATAACAGACGAGAAGAAGTAATATCATCAAATATATATCATTTTGCTGTTGTATTGAAATTCTTATAAGAATAATATATAAGAAATGTTGCGTATAAATTCAAAAGTATAATAACTTTATTAGTGAATAGATAATTGCTGATTAACATATAACTTTTGCTTCGCTTTGCATCAGACTTTTGCTTTGACAGATAAGTTCGATGTACGTTTTTGTATGAAATCGTTCACACATTCTGACATATCCTGTTTTCTTCACTTCGTTATTAAAGTATGAACAGTCTAGCAAAGCGAGGAAATTTTTGTGTCAATCAGCCATTAAAATCATACTTCGTACGTTATTAACTTATACTATGGGTAATAAACTCACTTAGCTTCTATACATTTTTCTTTATATCGAATATTTATATTAAAATCAACTAAAATAACAGAGAAATCTATATTCATAATTTAGTCTAGTCTACCGTTATCACTTACTTTTACCATCGAATTGTAATTCTTACTGAATTGCGTCGAACCACAGAAGTCAACCAAAGGGTCGACTTTTATTAGATTGGTTATGAGTGAAAGGGGATTAAAGGCTAGGGTTAGTACAATTTGACTGATAGAAGGGATTCTTCAGATTATCAGTATGAGTATATGGTATTTTCTTAGCGCTGGACTTTAGTTTTTAACATATTTGTTAATAAAATTCATAAATTTAACATTTTGTAGTAAGCCTTTTCGATTTATGGAATAATTTTACACTCATAGTATTCACTTTTTATTCATGAAACCTTAACTACTTTTTTTGTATTAGTGTAACAATAGCTTTAAATCAATATTATAGTTTTTTTTAATTCAATTTATTCACAGAATAACAAAAGGGTTATATTCTAAGAAAGTGGAATGCATATTTACTGCATTGTAAAGAAATCGAAGGATTATATTTGATATTACAGTAATGCGAAATAATTCAGAATTATGTTTTTCCCGTTTGGATCGGTAAGTGTTATTATCAGAGCAAGTAGTAGCAAGACTGTTCCTTTTGATCTGTCGCATCAAGTTCAATCCAGGCCCGAAGAAATTTTGTGTTTTGTATACGCCAAAAGGTTTGATTCAAACTCCACGGCTATACCTGTTCAGACTTTAAGATGCTCAGGGAGTGAACCACAAATAATGTGGCCCCATGCTGTCAATGTACCACTTGGACACTTTCCTCAGTGGTTGTGCAAATAGAACCTAGTTTGAGTACTGCGTCACCACTTCAACCGAGTAACTAATAAAAGAACCTCCGCGGTCTCAAGAGCTCAATTAGGCAGCAACATAACGCAACTCCTGGTCCACATGGTGAGTGGAGTGTATCGTGTATTGTCCCTTGCTGTAGGAGCTTACACCGAACAACCTCCAATGGCGCAGTCAAATAACACCCCATTGTCACAATCCCTCCGTGGGTAATGAAACAGCAACAACCATAACCTGTACACCAAACCCTCAATGTCAGAGTTTCAAGAGCTTTATCACGCCAAACAAAACTCTTACAATTCAACTTCTACGGCTTTCCGAGTAAAATCAATGAGATAAAATAGGGGCCTAAACAGTTTTGGTTCGATTTAGACAATTTTTGGTCACAAGGTGGCATACTTTAAACGCATTATTCATCCAAAGTTTTGCCCCGAAACAATCAATGTTGCATGATTTGCATAGTGGAAAGTAAAAAAGACTGGTGAAATTTAAAATGGCGTTATATAGGAAATAGGCGTGGTTGTAATCCGATTTCGTCCATAACTTACACATATAAGAGGAATATTATGTACCGAATTAGGTTGAAATCGGTTAAGTAGATCCCAAGATATGGGTTTTCACCTAAAGGTGGGCGGTGCCACGCCCACTGTCTAATTTTGAACGCGACTCCTATAACGTTATCCCATACTATCCCAGAGATCAAATTTAATGTCTCTGGCGTGTTTAGTGCTTGATTTATCGCGCTTTTAGTAGTTTTTAACAGTACCACTTAATGGGGAGTCAGCGGAGCTGTCTCCCGATTTCATCTATTTACATAAGATGGATAGAGATGCTAAAATTATTTGTTTTCAGTAAATTTTGTTACTATAGTATTTTTTTTTTTTTTTTTTTTTGGCGGGGTAGGGGGTGGAAAAGGCCTTCCACATAATCCCTGCTGTCGTCGCAGCAGCGGTATGTGCTGCGTGCAGGTCACTAAAAACCTCCGCTCTAGGAAACGTTCGCCCACCCTGGAACCGCGTTTGCATTACTTCAGGGTGGCGTTCCATTTTTCACATTGAGAGATTTACATCTGCGCACCTGCATCCAGGTCCCGCTTTTTGCTGCGTAGCAAATTTACAGCGAATTTCTGGATGATCCCCCAGTTTGCTTCGCTCTCAAGCATGACACTGATTAAATTGTCCGTTTTTATTGGACCAACCCGGTCTTCTATGGCGGTGCGTTCCCGTTGCCATCGCGTACATTCAAAGAATGTGTATTTAGCGTCGTCTTCTGTCGCGTTGTTGTATGGGCATGACGGCTCTTCGACTTTTCTCGTTCTGTGGAGATACTTTTTGAAGTATCCGTGACCGGATAGCAGTTGTCTCGTGTAGAAGTCGCCTAGTGCGTCGGCAGCCTTGCATATGTGCATATTGGCCTGTAGGATATTCATTTAATCAGGTATTTTCAAAACACTACGCATTTTGCAGAGCCCGGCATATGGTCAACTAGTTCGTGTTTGGCTTCTGTACAGAGGCAACATGATGAAGGCTTTGTGCACTCTTTCAGTTTGTGACCTGGTTGGCCGCATTTTATGCAGATGCCTTGCCCTCTTCTATCGGCTCTTTGGCAGTCCCAAATTAGGTGTCGGCAGCGAAAGCACCTCTTTGCGTTTTCTTTGAGTCGCAGTCTACAGTAAACCCAGCCAATTTTGATGCGTGCTTGCAGTTATCCGGATTTCAACTCGTCTCTTCATCCTGATCATTTATATATACATAACCCTATATCTAACTCGATTAGTTTTAGGTGATACAAACTAAAAACTAAAAATCAAAACTATTATAATCTGTAGCAACAGGTTGCGAGAGTATAAAAATAGTTAAAACAATTCTGTTTCTTTTATTATTACGCATTCATCAAAATTGACTGCAACAAGAAATTGTGTGCCATATGTAGAGCAAAGTTCACCTCGCTTAGTTGTAAATACATTACCTTTTCTCAACAAATTCTCCATATGTTGCTTCCTTTTCAAATTTTCTAAGAGTTGCATTAGTTCTTAAGTGAAAATCATATTCCATATGTTCTGTAAGTAATTGACTTATAAAACTTTCTCAAAGTTTTTGTAAATCAAAAGACCAAATCCTATTATTCCTCGATTTATTTTGGATGGGATTCCTTCGCACTTGTTCATTGGATCCCGTAATTATAAAAGGAGCAAATTCCAATTCTTTCAGGAATAACAGAATTCACACTAATAAGATCATCATCTATATCAAAATTAAATGGTGGACCAGGCATTTTATTTATAAAAAAAATTTATTTTAATAATGAACTTTTAGGACTAGTGTTAGAAAAATTTAATAAGAGAAAACATAAAGTTTAATGGTTTTATACACTCTCAACATATATGAACTTCAATTAAGAAATATAATCAAAATAACCAATCTTCATATTTATGTGGTTTCAAAAATACACATACAAACTTACACTTAAATTAAAAATATCAACAAAATGTGCTTTCAAAAAATTCTCATGCACTTTATTTATGTGGTTTCAAAAATGCACATACAAACTTGCACTTAAATTAAAAATATCAACAAAATGTGCTTTCAAAAAATTCTAATGCATTTTTACCATACGAAAGTCCCACCACACACACACACACTTTACAAACCACAAAACCGCAGAACTGCAAAATATACACTTGCAGTCACGCATATATATTAATATATGTGGGTATGCATATATTTTCCTTTTACCATTTTTTTAATTCATTTTTTCTTTCACCAAGTGGGGTAGGACCGGCAGTTATATACTACTCTTTAAGGCCAAAGTAGTACAATACTTTCTTTCACCTTTAGCGTATACTCATAGACACCTGAAGCTTCTTTATGATTCAAGGTATTGGTGGAATGCTTAGTCCAATATTTAGGCCATCACCACATCACAATTACAAAACTCAGATCTCATACAGTTGGTGAGTTGATGACATTGTTTATTTTCCAAAATCCCGTACGTTGTAAAGCGGATAATTTTATTTAAAAATTTATAAGTCACACGCTTGCTCCCAACCTATACCATACTTGTATATAGGAAAACGAGATACTTCAACTGAATTTTATTTCATTCAACAAAGACAAGTTGACAGTTGTAATTTGATAAAACCGCCAAAGGGATTTTAAGATTATTTGAAAGAATTAGAATTGATTCAACTAGTCATAGGCTAGGTGTAGGGCAGCTTTTATTTGATAAATTAAAAAGTGTTAGACTCTATTCCTACTGTGACAACAGCAACAGTAGTTTAACTTTAATATTATTCGTAAGAATAAGAATTTTCTTTTTAATTAAATTTTTTAATAGAATCCAGAGCACCCCAAATTTTAAGTCGAAAAAAGTAGTTCGTACTTGTAGATAGAGCAGGTTTAAGCTATTTTCAAAACTCTTATTTTCTTTTCATTATAGTCTTAAATTAATAAATAATTATTACTACATAGGATATAGGTTATTTCTTATATACGTAAATATGTAAATCTTAGGCGTAAGTTTTATCTATTTATTTATTGCAAATATTTGCTGTCTATTAATTGTGATATTTTGTTTGTAAAGTTTTAAGTTTTTTCTTGAAATTATTGTAAATTTATTTTGTACCGATAATATAGGTCTACAGGGAATAGAGCACCCAAAACTAACTTCGGTAACACTAACACTAACAAAACACGATAGGCGGATAACAATGGAATTTGAACAGAGCTGAGCATTGAATAAAAATTATCCTCAAAAATATATATTGCTATTACAGACGTCTGTTACCCCTCTGGCTTATATGTTTATAAATTTTTATGCAAACACATGCATGAAACATGATATAATTTTCCTTTTGTGAATATCTATGATATCATGCATATTTGATAACATTTTAATAAAATCTTATATTTCAAAAAAATATTTCGTCAACTTTCATTCTTACTATATCAGTATCCTCGTCGTTGATCAATGATGCCTGTATTGTACCCTTCGCTTATAAAGTCCTCATTAGAAAAATTAAGCTCGTATATCTTGGAGTTTTCATGCAGCGCAACGCCCCATGTCTGACTTTCCTGCTCATGACGGCTCTCACTTTTTTTTTTCATGGAATATTTTCTAATTTTGATCGATTTTCGGCACAATGTACAGCTGGCTTTCGGCATAATTTTAATATTTGTCACACACTAAAATTAAATACAGCGAATTAGTATTTTTGAAAAAAAACGATTTAAGTATTTCACGTTTCATATTGAAAATTTGAGAATCAGAACAAATGAAAATTTTACAAAGGACAACATTGTTTCCCATATGATTTCGTGTAAAGCATCGAAATGGCAGTTTTTGGGAGAGCGCCTATTGGAAATGCTATACCATTTTTGTGCTATCAGGCATTTACATACAAAGTTGTGTGTAGACAAATTTAAAAACATTATCAAAACTTTTAATGACCAAAGCAAATAAATTATAAATATATAACTAGTCAAACCTATATAAACTGCATATTTAGAAAATAATATTAACCTAACTTTATTATACCAAAGGTGTTATGGAATTCATCATGAAGAAGCTAAATTTGTACATACTTATTTACTTATGTGCTTTGATACCAAATATATACAGAAATGTATATATGCAAATTCGTTTACTCATTATAAATAAACGAATCTGTATCTGTACATTTTTAAACAGCAATTAGCATTATTTTTCTCATTTAACACTGAAAATGCTCAATTCTGCTATCTTCGAGTCTTCTGGGGTGAAGCTGTGGTAAATTTCGCTAATAATTTTTGGTTGCGAAATCCTCCCATCGTGCGCGAGTACCGCTCCGAAAAGCGGTCGTATTTTATTTTGATTTTTAATTTTTTAATTTGCATTTTTATACTATGTTCGCACTGACACAAAATTCGTGTTTTCATAGACAAAAGAGATTTTCACGCGAAAACTTGTGTTTTCATCCATACAAACTCTGTCAAACGAAAACACGGTTTTCGCTGAAAACCCCTTTAAAACTTACTTTCCACTCATTATAATCGGTGCCTGCTCTAGTTTAATCGATATTATTAGAAGACATATTTTGCCAGCCCTAAATGTCAGTTGACAATTTGTTTACATCCCATAATTGGCATAAACGTACCCTACAAGAAACTGCTGATGGGTTCACCAATACACTCACATTTGATATGTCAGTACTGTTAATTTACATTTGCATTTTTAAATTCAGAACTATCCACTGATTGGAGAAAGACGTACGCAGAGCTATTGAAAGAAGGAGATGGCATCAAGTGAAAAGATTTTTTCATATATTATTATATTTTTTGTTGCATTCCTTTTTATATTTAAGTATATTATTATAACTAATTTTGATTAAAAGTTTGAAATTTATTAAAGAAATAAAAATTATATTATCTACTTCGCAAAAGAATTTTTCACTTCTGATAGCGTTTCAGTCATAACTGACAATTTTTAGCTATGACGGATTTATGGTCAGCAATGACTCAGAAAAAGACATGAGAGTGAGCAGTATAGATATATAGTGAATCAATTCCGAATACCCATGTGTTAAAGTGAGATGCAAACTCACACGCATATGTTTGTTTACATCAGTTTTTGAACAAGTTTTTTCAGCTATGACTGTCATATTATGTTATGTTATGTTTTAAAATTTATAAGAGATTGTTTTAATTCCTAAAGATTAGATTTACAGAGTATTATTTAAATTATTATTTATTGTATTGAAGTATTATTAAATGTTTCCAATTTTATCAAATATATTATTGTGTAACGGTGATTTAGAATATTTTGTAAATATTAGTTATTACTTAGTAGATTGTTTTGATTGTTGTTATTGTTCCTGAATTGTACCTCATTTTTTATATTTATTTCTTTTTTGTTCAAATCAAATAATTAATATTAATGAACCTGATTCATGTACCTGATTTTATGTATCTTGTTACTGTCATCACCACTCTTCACGATTGAATCAAGCTCTTGACGCAAATTTTTCAGATGAAGTTGTTGAGAGGGAGTTAGATCAGTCTTGAAAATAAAACCTGAGTTTTCGTCTGTTGGTCTGAATTTGATAATGGAAAGTGCATCGGCTGCTGAGCGGGTGGTAATGTGAAGAGGACGTGTACGTCCAGGTGTAGGACGACCCAGTCTACGTAACTTGAGTTCAGTGGCCTCATCCTTGAGACTGGGAGGCAAAGCTGTGACTAACTTTGTTCTGTCATCCTCTAAACGGTCCTTTCCAGCAGCTTTATCAGACTCAGGAATATTTAGGGCAATCACGTTGGTTTCACGGCGTTTTCGTTCCGACAGTTCAGTGAAAAACTCTTCCTGGCTGGTAGGCAGCCTCATATCTACGTTTAGCTTGTCTTCAACTGATGTAAGTCTGTCATCCAGGGCAGAACATTGATTTGATAGCGAGACGTTTTGTTCTGACAGTTTGCTTACCTCTTTTCTTAAGTCCTTGATTTCCATTAAAAATTATTTTTTAAGGTCCCTGAACTCACGTTCATAATTTGCTGTAAAACGTTCAAAGTGTATTTTGAATAAGGTTTCAATATCCTTTGACGGTGGCGGTATCTGTTGTGTTGTATTTACTTTTTTGGGTGGCATTTTGTAAGTACACGATACAGGAAAAAAAACAAAAGATATGTTCCAAATAATTCCGGAGTAATTTTTTTATTTTCGTGTATTATCAATGCATTAATTCACTCTATGATGTCTGATTCACAATCAATGTTAATGTTTGTTATGCTTTTTATTATTACACCTCACAATATTACGTCGCACACATCTTTCTTTGTTGTACGAAATTCAATTATGGTTCAATATCAAAATTTAATCGAACTTTTCTTTGTACATCCTTTATAATTTCTTATAAGAATTATTATTTTCTTTTAAGAAAACTTATATGAGACATTAATTTAATATTCTTTCACTTTTATATATACTATTGATGTAATATTTTCAGATATTACGGAGCACTTTTCACTATGCAGACTGCACATGTTCACAGCTACCTAACCAAAAAAGGGTATTCTCCAGACAGTTTTGCGTAATAACGTTACATAAGAGATGGCGTTTACTTCCATTTGTAATGTGCGTCCCAACTGCAGAGCCTACAAGTCCTAAAATGGTTTAGGAAGGCTAATGCTTTCTAATGGCCCAAACACTTCGGGAGGTTTGCAAATGATAATGGTCCGGACTCTGGAACAGTAAAGGGCGCATCACTAATCCCGATACCGCAATGGCTGATTCAGCTTCGCTTTGCGTCAGACAGACAGACAGACTAGGCTACTCACATATTTTTACGCTTAGCCAAGCAACAGTCGCCATTTTTATTAGAGAGATATACTGAAAGCAAAGCGTCCATTCTGGCAAACCATTTGCTTTCTTCGCTTCGTTATTAAAGTATGAACTGTAACGCAAAGCAAGGAAAGTTGTAATGGGCCATAAGGGTCTTGCAGCAGATTTCTTGAGTAAAATTAAATAAAAAAAACGTTACCTTCGGCTGCACCGAAGCTATAGTACTCTACACAGCTGAATTTTTTTAGCATAAAGGAGTACAAAAAAGTTTTAGTTTTACTTGGTCAGCTTGTATAACAACTATATGTTATAGTGGTCCGATCTTAACAATTTCTTATGAAATTGCATAATAGCCTTTGAAAATAACCCGTGGAAAATTTCCACTGGTAAGGTAAGGTTCTTCGAAGGATTGACCTTTGAAAGTGGACCAAGAAAAGGTCTAGGACTTAAATGGGTATGTCAGCTTGTCATCTCCTACATTACACTACATGATACTAGATACCTTATTCTACAAGTAAGTTGGCTCACAAAATAGAGAAGAAGTGGGCATCCTAATTGAACTGTAGGCACATATGCATCTAAATTCTTTATATTTCTGCAAATCCTTTACAGAAGCGCCTACGTTATAAATTGTGAGAGAATTTCCACTTTATGGTCGTTAAGGCGCACCATAAAAAACAGGAAGGTCAAAGATGCCAACCAAAAAAGAATAACGTAAAATACATAGACACATACATAACCGTATATATATATATATATATATATATAACATATACATATATCCATACATCTGTTAATATTTCAGAAGCCGCTTGCGTAGGTGGCAAGTGTGTTTGGCCACAATACTAACTGCGCTTTAAAGAAATGGTGTGAGATAGCCTACAAATTTTCCACAGATGCCGACAGGAAATGCTGCAATAAAAACCGGAATAAATAACGCATAAGATGAAGCAGTTGAGCGGCGGAGTAAATTGTAATGGCATACGAAAGGTAACCCTTTAGGCAGCTCACACTCTCTTATACCGCGCCACACACTCATACGCCGAAAGAATAATAAACGAGCCGAATTTCTTATGGCGGATGGATGGACTAAAAAATAGAAGGCATGAATTGCGCCGCTTCTGTGATTGGTTTTGTCGTCATATTCTCATCGCTATGCCACAACAGCGATGACATTAGAAATTCAGCATAAATTTGCACCTAATAAAAGGCAAAAAGGAGGATCGTTGAGTGCCACATTCATGCCCCAACAATGCACGTCGCCATCACATTCACATTCGCCGTGCAATCATCCATCATTGTGCGCGTGTATGACGGGTAGGTGGGGGGTAGCTACGCGGGCGGGCTGACTTAGGTTATTTGAATATCGCACCACAACTACGCGGTACTCTATAGGCATCCATACATACATACGCACATACGAATACGAATACGGATTCGTTAAGCAGTGTCGCTTGCCGTAGGCCACTACAGTATGCTTCGATTTTATTCAAATCTTTTCCCACTTGCAATTTGTGTTTGAGGCAATGACTGGATTGCTATCGCGTGATGACTTGAATTCATTGAAATTTGATGACTTTGGCCTTTTCATATTTTGCTTGTGGTTTTGCCACTTTCGGTTCTGTCGCTGGCGAATTAGAGTTAAGAAAGGGTTGTTGAATCAGTTTGAATTTAAGACGCGGAGTTGATAGTGGGCACATCTAAGTTTTTGCTGATGCATGTACATACGTATGTGTGTAGGCATACATTTTTTCCCCTAGATGATTTATTGAAATCAAAATTTACTCCATTTTGTGGTTTCTCATCAAATTACTTGTACCTTTGATAAATACATACATTTTAAGAAGGCTCAAGTTTAAGGTAGCCTGTTTAGAATATGGTTCCAAGTAGTCGATAGGGTTAATTTTTAGAGTTTGCTGTCAGTCTTAGGACATTTAGGTGTGGACGTTGTGAAATTCTTAGCAATTACGGCTCCATATTCCTAACCATTTGATTCTTAATTACCGAGCTTACTCGCGGTGGCTTCTTCTTTGTACTACATAATAGCTACAAGCGACATGTGGAAGAAGTAAGAAATAAATAGTGGGCTTCTTTACATACAGTTCGAAGCTCAGTCGGAAAGTTTGTGGAGAAGTATACTCTAAACTTGAAGAAGGAAATTGATGCAGCTAACCTTCTACGTATAGAATGTTTGATGATTCTATGAAAGGAGCTTACCTCCTGGGAGTTGGAAGTTTAAGATATTTTGGTTAAGATATAGAAATGTAGAAAAATACAAGCATATTAGAATTAAACATTAACACAGTCTTGGACTACCGGTTATCGGTGTTCCAATTAATAGCAGTTGTCAAGAAAACATTCCTTTTACAATCCATTGCACATTCGAAGGTGGCTCAAAACTTGTAGTTTTCTACAATTGTCAGACAAACTCGTAGACGCGTGTAATAAATCAAATGTGTAAGCGGTAATCAGTGAAGGAGAGTGGGGGCAGATTGGGGACAATTCCTTCCGAGCCCGGAGTTCTTAGAGGGCTCGCTGATCTGCAATGATGTTTTGCAGATTTTTTTCTGCAACAATTTACTATAATCATCCTCGGGCCCCGATTTTCTCGCTGCGATTAGAATTTCCAAGAGGGTTAGCTGTCAAAGCC